AACTACGTAATATTAATATTTAGACAATAAATTGTACAGCTGACTTCTTAAAAAAACCTTGAGCTAAGAAATACATAGTTGAAGTAACCATAAAATAAAAACTTCCGACACCGTTACGCTGTTCCCCTACAAAGATCGTTTCGTGCTTTGAGCTTTTTGGACATGTGATATTTTCGTACCCAGATATAAATCTCACGGCTTTTTACCTCTTTACTCCCGAGTAGCTAGGTAGCCACGTCGTCACCGGGTGTCTGGAACTTCCAGTCCATTTTTGGCCTCCAAAATTGCTAGGGTCAATGTTCTTGCAAATATTGGGAACCCTGAGCTTTCAAGGCTTGGTTGTAAGCACGCTTCGGCTAATATGAGCTTACGTTTTTGCAGGTTTCCAGCTTTTACAGTCGAGCATACTTTCCAAGTGCTACTGTGAAATTTCCATTTACATTTGATGAAACGATTCTATATCCACCGAGGGGGCTATCGTTTAAGGTATGCAAAGAACACTAAGATATACTTAAATTGTTGCGTTATAGAAAGTGTTACTTACCTGTAACTCGAGCGCACTGTGCCTTGGAGTCTATTGCTGTACGAATTCGATGCTGAAGACCAACTGTTCGCCCTATCCATCAGCGGATTTAGGGTCAGATCTGGTCTCGCCGCAGAAGCATTACTTTTAAGAGTTCCTGCTCAAACTGAATTCACTAATTGTTTTGTGTATAAAAAGGTCGATGTTTGTAGGACAACGGTTAAAGGTAATTTGAAAACCGTTACGTGAAAGTAGCTCTGAAAAAAAATTCCTTACGTCGTACCTCTGATAAAATTTCAGATTTTTTGGGTTATTTAGCCACGCAGTAAGAAGCGTTCTTCTCGAAATGCAAACGTTGAACCTGTAGAAAGAGACTGAAAACATGAAGATTCAGCGAGCACGATTATGACGAGCACAAAACCAATAGCGACAACGGCTCCAACAACACTTACTAATATGTTGGCTGATTGGGTCGGAGGCCAACTAGGTAATTCTCGTTTTCGGTTTTAAAAGCCACTTGAGATACAACGACGACCCCGGCGCTTCAAGACGAAATCATGACAAATTTGGCGACGATCCCCCGATACAAGGGAAATGCTAAGCCAGTGATGCACTATTGGAAGGAGATGAGCATGAATATTGCCACCCCAGAGGACACATATTGCCAGGGGTGGGTTTTTTAGTTTCGGCCAATTGACAATTTCGGCCCAACAAAATCACTTATCTAGCGCTTCTCGGCATCACCCCTGTTTTTGTCCAGTAGGTTAAATCCCGCAAACCGCGAATTATGACTTCCGAGCCCCTTTAGGAATGCAATGTTCGGAAAATTCATTTCTCCTAGAGTGATTTCGCCGATAACTCCCTTCGTTTGATGGTTTGCAGCTTTGAAGCTTTATGGCAATTAGCTTTTACTAGTTTTGGAACTAGGGGATAAGACCGAAAATCCTGTTCTTACAAAGTTCACGATTGTCACTAAAATAACGTCTCCTTGTTAAATCCTAAATCCATGATTCCAGCCAAATCTGGCGATACCTAGCACAAAAGCCGACGGACGGATGTGACGGCTTGGTGAAATTGTGGGCGAGTAAGGATGGTGGGTGCTGACCGTAGCTCTAACTTTTCTTTTAGGTCTCTCACTCTCAATCGGCGCTAGCGGTGATCAAAAGCTGGGCTGGGTGGCGAGTGGCAAGGATAATGGATGTTTTGCGACATCGCCCATTGGCGAGATGGTCAAGAAGGCCAACGGAGACAAGATCTATCAATCCACTGGCGCTGGCTACTCTGCCACCATCTACAAGGCGCCCGTGCTCAAGTTTTACGCGTGGGAAGCCGGGAGCTGTTTCACGAAAGTTCAGGGCTGCATTAACAGCGGATTGCCGAAATGTTAATCGAGTCGATAAAATGTTTTTTTTTACGGCGGTCAAGGAGGCGTGTGTGGTGTTTAGGGTTTAAATTTTTAGTGGAGTTTATGCACGTGACATAGCCTATCTTGTGCAAAATTTTGCGCTATTTCAAATATGTTTTCCAAAGCCGCGAAATAACCAGATCAAAAACGTTATCAAATTTTTCAGTGCGAAAAAGCCAAAAAATGTCTCCAATTTTGGCCATTGTGGAGCATTTTTGCATTTCAAAACGTCATAACCTTTAAAATTCAGTCGTTGACAAATTCAAAATAGATTCGAACTCAGCGTAAAATTCTGGACGCGATAGGCTTAACTAGATTTTCGTAAAAACATCGATTTGCAAGTTGCTGCGTTCGCCAACGGTTTTATACATTGGAATAACGATGCATTTGTATAAATCATAACTTGATTCACTCACAATTTATCCAGCAGTTTTGTTCCTCTACAGATCAAGGTGACAATTCGCCAGCCTCTCCGGATTTTGACAGCCAATCCCGGCGACAAAGCACGGACTTCTCGGAGGCCAAGCGTAAAATACGATTCCGAGTGAGACGTAGCTTCCTACGCCTACGATAGCGGCATTTGTGTAGATGCAATCCAGCGTCTTTGGGTGTTGCCAAGCGCGGATCGGGAGTGTGGCACCGCATTTGTTGTTTTTCGTGGTAGCCACCCAACCGACTATCATTCCAGCCATCTCCTGGACGCCTAGATAGGTTCCTGAAGAAAAGTTTTGGATCATCGATTCGACTTGTACCATCCATGCTGCTCCTCAACATTGCCTGACCATCACAGGAGATGCCTTGACTCGGCTTCAGGAACTGCCAAGTGTTCCTGGAAAGCTGGATTTCGGGAGAGAGTGAGAGAGAGAGCGAGTGAGTGAGAAGGAGCGAAACTGAGAGCAAGCCCGTGAGAGAGCGAGAGAGCAAGACAGAGAGAGAAAGAGTGAGAGAGAGAGAAAGTGAGAGAGATCGAAAGAGTGTGAGCGAGAAGGAGAGAGAGAGAGAGAGAGAGAGAGAGAGAGAGAGAGAGAAACCGGGGGGAGAGAAGAGAGCGTGATAGAGAACGACAGAATGCGAAAACCGCCAGGCTAGCTATGAAAAAATTCGACGAACCCTCTACAATATTGGTCGTGCGGCTCGGCAACTGTTGGGACCATGCGTCTCCAAAAGTGGATCCCTGTCGAGTTTACGTATTTTGGGATAGGTAGGTAGGTCGCGGTGGCGAGCGGGTCGACTGCTGGAAAAATACGGCATTCGGAACGGAAAAGCCCTACTTGTGGTGGTTTTCGCTGTTGTTGTAAGTGTCGTAGTCGTCGAACTTGTCGCTGTTGTGGTAGCAGTGGTTGTAGCAGTTGTTGGGGCTGTACTTGTCGTGTCCGCAGTGCTAGCGATAGCCGGTATTATTGGTGTTGTTACGGTAGTTGTGATCGCCGCCGTGGTAGGAGTGATACTTGTTGCTGATGTCGTCGTAGCGGTAGTGCTAGTTAAGTCACTACTTGCTGTCTCTGCCGTCTTTGTAGATGTCTGGCTGGCAATTTGAGCGTTAGTGGTGGTGCTCAGGCTATCTAAAGTCCGGTCAAGATACACGGCAATTCTGAAAAATACCAAGTTCCACATGTTTTTGGTATACAAAACAGGAGATTAGAACACCAGCTGAGTCGGAGACAGTGCTAGAAAGTGAATGGCGGAGTATATGAAATAAAAAAATCTCACCTTCGTCGCGGTTGTGGATAGATGGAACAATTCGTTTGCCAAGAGTCATTCGTACAACAATAGACACCCCGACAAACAGCGGAAACGCAATATTTTAGCGTCTCCTAAAAGACTTCAGCATTTATATATTTGACTTTAAGGGTTGGCGCATAAATTATGTTATACCTTAAATGATCCACCCGTCGGCGGCTCTAAACTATAACTGTCGAAGTGAAACGGAAAATCGATAACTCTACTAGGCAAAGGGTAGCGATGGAATCTCACGGCTTGCTTAAACGACACTATGATAACCACTCCATACCTTGCTACCGCGAAGCTTGGAAAGTTCAGAGTTGTTAACATAAATGTAGTCCCAAGCATTATATAAATGAATTCTCGCGCAAGGTTGAAAGAATTTGGTTCATCAGCCATGTGCTGGTTGCTATGCGAAAATTAAGAAGGGCTATAAATCACTCAAATGCGCTGAATCGCGATTGGCAGCTTAGGAAAGAAAGGGATTATTCTTCCTACTTACCGTACGTAAAACGGCATGAATAAAAAATTTCCAAACTACCCAGTTACAAGATCAATTTTACGTGTTTTCGAACTCCGATTTCCCACTCCGATTTAATGATCATTTTGCTCTCGACTGATATTTAAGTGAAACTTCCGAGTGCATCAAGATGTCACGATAAAATTAGCATACATCTTTATTTTTACACCTTATTTTTTTCTGACAACGCGACAAAAATTGAGGCAAAAAGGAATCCGAGTTCGATGAATGAGATCATTGATACACCCATCAGCACGCCGAGGAGACCACCGAGAGAGCCGATGAAGCTGTTGAACTGGAAAACGTAGGTTTACTTCCTCTCTCTCGCTCTCTCGCTCTCTCTCGTTCTCTCTCTCTATCTCTGTCTCCCTCTGTCTCTTCCGGAAACATACACTTTCCGCCGCCACTTCCGCGTATAGTTGATAGGTGTAATCGGTCATCGTGACGGCTACCCGTACTGTATCCTGTATCCCAGCCGTACAATTTGCAGCGTTGTTCGTCAGGCTGCACTCTTGGGCTGGCTAAAAAACTTCTTTAAACCTTTTAAAGCGACTGGGAAGTGATCGAATCGACCCCTTCCGCTGGCCGGGTGTGTGACACTCATCTCAAGACCTAGGGTTTCGTGTCTCAGCAGACCACTTGGCGAGTCGCCACCACCTTAGTCGAGACCGAGATCGGGAGAAAGTCGGAGCTCGCGGCAGAGAAATAGAGAATGCTGAAGCACGATAGTGAGCTGATGCGCGATGGTGGGCATGAGACGATAAGCATGAAAAGACTGCAAAATCCTTACACTAATCGAGTAGATAGTCCTCGTAAAAGTATCGACATCATAGACCCGTTGGGTCGGGAGCTTGAGGGCAGCACATGATGGCGCAAGTCGAAGGGTCGCCCAACGCGTCGATGTCGTTCCGCAGGTTCCTGGAACGATGATGTACAGAGGAGCTTTGCGTTGTCCAACTCATGATAGAATACACCAAATTTCGACAGTAAGCGCCCGGACGATGCAAAAAACTCACGTTGGGTCAAGCTACATGCTGTCGCCGTCGCTGCCATCGGATACCGCGGATCCGCCACAGCCACAACTTTCTTGGACGGCTTCCTGGTAGCACGAGCGGATGCAGCCCTACAAGTCGATTTTGATTTACTAAGAAAAAAAGACGTACATCAGTATCATAAAGCTCCCGTGTGTAGTAGTACTGTTTTGACTAAGTGGCGTCGTGGACACAGGTGTGCCATGGCGACCGCCAAGACGGGTGTAGGCTGTCTGAAGAGTTGGGTCAGAGAGAGAGAGGAGAGAGAGAGAGAGATAGAGAGAGAGGGAGATAGAGAGAGAGAGAGAGAGAGAGAGAGAGAGCGAAGCGAGCGAGCGAGAGAGATGAAGAGAGGAGAGAGAGACAAAAAGCGAGAGAGAGAGAGCGAGCGAGTAAGAGAAAGTGAGAAGAGCAAGCGAGTGCGTTTATGCTAATTACTCACCAACGATGGAAAAAGCTCCGTCTCGCCGACGGGTTGGGCATTGAGCGTACAGATTCCGAGAAGATGTCTTCTTCAGCAGCGTGAACGAATACCTAGGTAATTCCGGGTTTTTAATAGGTTTAAAAGAATTTTTAACCTAATTCTCGCCTTCTCTCTTCTAACCGATTAAGTTACGTTTTTTGACCTCTTACCTGTATTCCAGACGTTTCGATCCACGGACAGTACTCGGCCTGGTTGATTTTGAGCATTGCGTAAAGTCCCGAATTTGACTTTGGGGCTATTAAGGCACGGCTCACCTCCTGTTCTCTCCTGTCATCCTCCCGGCAATTCTGATCCCGGGTGTTATTTTTCGAGTGGTTGAAGGTGGAAACAATTCCCGAGCGTCCACGTCATTCCACATGTACGATGTCGCATTCGGAAGCCGCTTATAGGAATTAAAGCATCCAGAAAGCCAACCAAGAAAAGTCAGGTCGTCGTCACAAAGAGTCGAAAAATTTTACTAGCGAGAGACCTCACTCCCAAAGTGAGGGGTATGCTCTTCGCTATAACGGCCTTGGCGGACATGTCCGTGAAGCTGTAGCTGAACGAGTTTTCCTAAAAAACAAAATCTATGATTGTGGCGAAAATAGAGAGAGATAGAGCGAGAAGAGAGAGAGAGAGAGAGAGAGAGAGAGAGAGATAGAAGAGCGCGAGAGGATAGAGCGGTATGAACGATGAGAAGGCTTTTCCCGTACCTTTCCTCAACCAGTCACCTCCCAAAATAAACCAACATGTCTGGCAATATTTAGCCAGGTTATCAACAGGATCAGTGAGCAACTAAAATTAACAAAATTTTTACTTCAGGTTTTCAGGAAAAGCTAGCAGAGACGATTAGGAATTACCGATAAAGCCTGTCCTTTAGGGCAACTACTTGAAGACCAGTTGAAATATTTAATCTTAGTTCAGGACAAACTAGCAAAGACCGCATTTTAGAAAATTCTGGAAAATCTGAAAGCCCCTTACATTGATCAAATCGCTCCCAACAGTCCCACTCATAAAAATGATGATCGTGGCGTTCCAGACAATCATGGCTAAAGCCTTGGATTATGCACCATAACCTTAGGGTCACTTACGGATCGTACAATCATCAGATGTATAATCTGGACCACAGAACACGTGGCTGAGTTTCGAACAAATCTGAGTGCAGTGGCTTTGCAGTCGAGTTTCTCCAGTTTTTTCTAAGCTGATTTACCTGCTTGTCTCCCGCTGTCCCGGGGCTGTGCCGGCCTTGTTTGTCATTGGTGTAGATACGGTCATCGGGATCGGAACGTTTTTGTCACTCTCCTCTCTCCCACTCTCGCTCTGTCTGTCTTCACCACTCCTCACTCTCTCTCCCTCTCTTTCTCTCGCTCTCTCCAACTTACTGATTTCACAGCTGGGTCCAAAGTTTCTGGCTGTGGCAACGCAAATATACCATGAATCCAGCCGGAGGACTAACCTGGAAAAAAACCGTTGAAATTAAGCTTTCGCTCTATCACTTTGCTTTTTCCTCTCCTTCTTTCTCTTCTGTCTCTCTCCTCTTTCTCTCGTCTGTCTCTGCTATAATCACGCCCCCTACTCTCATAACTTTACCATGAGTGCGTCCCCTGAGTGAAACTTACAGGTTTCAGGAACAGAAGTCGATGGCTAAATTTTCAATTTTACTAGTTCTCGGATGCTTAAAGTTTACCAAGCAATGTCCCTTACCAACATCGCATGTCGTTTCAGTCCAGCCCTCCTGGCATGTACATTGATAGGTGGAATCAGAGGGAGGTTCGACACGACCGAGCAGGTAACCGTGGACACTTACAGGTTCGAGATACACATATTTGGGAACTAAATTTCAAATTAGAAATAGAGAGCACGGGAGAGAGATCGAAGAGAAAGAGAGAAGGAAGCTAGAAAGACAGAGAGAGAGAGAAAGAGAGCAGAGAGAGTGACAAAAAAGCGGGTATTAGAGATGGGAACAGAGGCATGAGAGAGAGCAAGAGAGGCGAGAGAGAGAAAACTATAGAGTGAGCTAATTACTTACTATCACAGTTCTGGCTGTATAAAGGCTCAAGCAGACGCAGGAGTAAGCTCGAAAATCGGCCAGGTCGTGCAGAACCTTTACCATATTGGCCTGGGCTGGAGGGCGCTTGATTTTGGCTAAATTACGCATATTAAAACGTTGCCCAGGGTCGTGCGCTTTCAGCCGTTTGGTTATGTTAATTAAACGTACTTTGTTTTATGTAATCCCAGTATACCCCAGCCGGACACGAAACAACCGTATGTAAAATCACAATATAATTCAAGTGGCTGCTCTGATTTTCCGGCGCGGTTTCGGATCACCGGGATTGTTTTCTGAAGGGATTTACGCTAGCGTATTGATAAAACAAACGTTGTTTCAAACGTTTAATGGCCAACGGATGTAAAGAAATTGGATTTAGCCAGAGTCCTTTGAGCCCCTACTGGGGTAACATGACTGTACACACACAACCAACTCATCTCATTAAAATGACGATTAATTTTGGGTTGGATCCCTAGCTAATTTGTCGCACCGGTTCCTTTTAAACTTTGCCTATATCACAAAGTTTCAGATCGCCACTGGACAGAGACAAGATGTGGAATTGCCGGCCAGGTCGACGCATTGTCCACCGTTGGCATCCGCGTCATGGTCGTTGTCTGGTTGGTGGATCCACTGAAAACATATTGTAGCCAGAGATGAGAGAGAGCGATAAAAGCCCAGTGATAGAAGAAGCAATGC